CACGAGGCATCTTGGGTTGTGCCTCCTTCCTGTAGGATAATTTGGGGGGTCGGTTCGGCATGACCTACAACTTGAGCCCGCACGGACCCATGTCGTGTCGTGGGTCAAGTTGGCCCATGGGCCGAGCCTTGGGCCAGGCCAGGCCACACACCAAGCCAAGTTCAAGGCAAGGCACCCACTCCCCGTCCAAGGTTTTTAAAATTGGATCAAATAGGAAACCGTTTTGGGGTCAAAATGTCAGACTGTTTGGTACGAATGAATGACCCACTCTAACAAAAAAAAAATTAGAAAAACAAGAAAAGCCAAAAACTGTTGTCCGAGGTGATGGATCGACTTCCCAGGTCAGCAATTCACTAACCAAATAAATGGTTTTTGGACAAAAAGCGATTTTGAGGTGAAACGGTGTCCGGTTCTCAATTTTTTTGGTCTAACAATCAGGTTGGTCCAATTTTGAAAGCACTGTCCCCGTCAACCCAATATGCAATTTGATGATAGAAATGATCAAAAGGATATATTGAGTATCAACCCCATTTTAAATTTTGAGGTGAAATGGTGTCTGGTTTTCAATTTTTTTGGTCTAACCATCTGGTTTGGTCCAATTTTGAAAACACTGTCCCCATCAACGCAATATGCAATTTGATGATAGAAATGATCAAAAGGATATATTGAGTATCAACCACATTTTAAATTTCTAAAAGTACACTAAATTGTCTTTAGTATTCAAAAATGTAATTTAATGAAAATTTATTGTACTTGTGTAATTTTGAAAATTTATTCAAATTATTTAAGTTTTTATTAAATAATTTATTTTTTTAAATGATTTACTTAAAAAATTATACTAATTTATCTTATAATTTCTAATGTAAACTAACCAATAATTTCCTTTTTCCAATATTATACTAATTTATCTTAATAATTTGTGTAATCATTGTTAAATATAATTCTCAATTCTATAGAAATTAGTTTAAGAGTTTTCAATTTCTACAAAATGTTGTTGATGAGTTAATTAATAACAATATTTATTAATTTTTGTTAATTTACTAACCATACTAATAAGAATATTTAATTTTTGGTAATTTACTAACCGTATTTATTAACTTTTGATAATAACACTATTCAATACTCATTAAATACAGGTGGGATTAAATATTAACCATATCTAACTTTTATTAATTAATATGAATATTTTAAATGAGGGAGAGTGGATATAGATTGGTGGGATGCATTTTAGGATTTGATTAGGGAGTGGGGCAACATGATACTTTCCTATTGATTTAAATGAGATACCTTAGGAGAGATATTATAGGAATATTTTTAGGTAGTTGGGTGACATGGCTTAATGGGAGGGGTGGGAAGGGGAGAGGAGAGAAAGGCAAAGAGAATGCAAGGTGGGGATAATGGAGCAAGGAGAGGCATGGTGATGGGGACCCTTGCTTTGTTAATCGAAAGTTAAACAATAGACCCAAATCGATACAACCCGAGTTGGTGGGTTTTCGCTAATGGTCAATCGGTTTTGAGTGATAAACTATGGACTAGACCAGATCGATTTGGTTGGCGAAATAACTTGCAGCTGAACTGAACCAATCATTGAACACTCCTAATTTCAACTAAATTTATAGTCTAATMTCTAATAAATAACAATAGTTTAATCTCCAATAATTATTGAAAATTTATAGCAAACGTACACAATCATTGAAAATAAGTTTATAATGAAAATATAATAGATATATAATAAAAATTCAATAATTACAAAAATATAATAAATACTGAAAATATATTAAATTAGTCAATAAACAGTGTAATCTTAAATAATAGTTTAATCTCTAATAAGTATTAATCTATAAATTATAAAAAATATATAATTACTAAAAATAAATTTATCACAAAAATATGATAAATACGATAAATTAAATTTCAAACATTAAATAATAGTTGTTTAATCTCCAATAATTATTGATAATCTTCTATTAAATAACAAAAATGACAATACATTTATAAATAATTAATGAAAGCATATTTATATAAGAAATATATAATTAATGAAAATAAAATAAATATTAATTATTGTATATATAAATATATAATGAATAAACACTAGTATTGTAAAATTATTACTAATAAATATAATTTTGTTGATAGTTATTTTCTATGATTATTAATTGATATAAGTGAAATTAGTTATGTACAATATTATTTAGTTATTGAAATAATATTGATACTTAAATTCTTAATATATTAATTATTTAATAAATTTAATAATCCATAAAATTATAATTGTACCATTATTACATAATTCGTTATTAATTTTTTAAAATATTAAATTATTATTAATATGAATATTATGAATTCTATTATAATTTATTACATAATTTCGTTATTTTAACTATTTGATTGTCATGTTAAATATTTTGTTATTTAAATATTTAAATAATATGTAAAATATTTAAAATTTTTCATTATTTGAATTTTATTTATTTTAATTTTATTTCGTAATATTAAATATTTTGTTATATTATTTAGCTACTTTTAATGCTTTTTATTTAAGATTTTTAGTTATTGAAATATTTAAATTATGTTTTATTTTTAATGTTAAATTTTTATTATTTGAATAACATTTAAATTGAATAATTCGTAAAATTATAATTTATATTGTTACTTCATAATTTCATGATGAATTTTGTAAAAATATTGAATTATTAATAATATGTATATTATTAAATCTATTAATTTTTTGTGTTCTGAATAAATATTTTAAACTTAGTATATAAATTCGTTATAACATTTAAATAGTTCTGAATTTTTTTTTAATTGAAATTTTCTTTAGATAGATATAGATAAAAAGTGGGGCAGAGGATAAATAGGAATTAGAGATAGTTTAGGAGATAATCTCTCTACTAAATTAGAGATAATTTAAGAGATAACTAGGAGTTAGAGATAATTTAGGAGATAAATAGGAATTAGAGACAATTTAAGAGGAAACAGGAAAAAGTGGTGTCACTTGGCTAAACATTCCTCTTTCTTTATGGTTGTTAGAAATAGTTAAGCATATGTGATTTCCTTATTGATTTAATGGGTAATTTTGTGGAATTAAAAAAATAAAAAATTCAAAAAAAAAACAGAAAATTAGGAAGGGGGATTTAAAGCAAGGAGAGGATTGTTGACATGGCAAGACTAATTTTAATATATATGTAGAAAATTAATGAACATTTTCATCCAACATTCCAAATTTTTGACAGAAAAAGTCACAAACGAAAGCACTGTATATCTGTTCTCTTTAAAAATGTCAATATACGATGCAAATTCTCTATCAATATATATGAATAGGAATTTTTCACATACAATCATCGGCAAATATTTAAAAGGAATATTTTACACAATGCTTGAGAATGGATATCTGGGATCAATCTTATCAAATGGTCAAATGGAAGAGACCTCAGTTTTGGATTTAATTTGTTTGAAGTTACTTCAGTTTTTTGTTAGGCAACAGTAGCATACACCCTCTCCACATAAATAAAATAAAATAATAAGGGTAAATTGCTGAAACCTCCTTTGAAGTTAGGTAATTGCAATTATATCCCTGAACTTTCTGACATAATTGCAAGTAGACCCTTTCTATTAGAATCCTCTAAAAAGAGGCATAAAAATGTCTAAAATACCCATACAATTATTTTGACCAAAATGTTCATTTTTCAAGTTTTCTCTACATATGAATTGCTACCAAACCCTTCCAATCTCTTTTCTGTAATTGATTTATTTTCCAAATTTGTCCTTCATATCAATTGTTCAAAGGTAAAGTTGCAACTTTAAATTCTCTCTTTTTTTTCATAAAGTTTGTATTGTTTTTTTTTTTTTGTACAAACTAGTCTCAATAGTAACTGCATGGGTATTTTGGATATTTTCATGCCTCTTAAGAGGATTCCAATAAAGGGGGTCTATTTGCAACTGTGTTAGAAAGTTCAAGGGAGATGGTTGTAATTATCAAACTTTAGGAAAGGTTTTAGCAATTGCCCAAAACCTTAGGGGAGGTTTCAGCAATTTACCCTAAAAATAAAAATAAATTACCACTTACCAACCTCTTTAATCATCTACTAACATACAAAGTGATTTTCAATATCGCGGAGAAAATTCATTTGCCCAAGTCCAATATTGGATACTTCACTTCTATCATAGGACAAGCCAGTAAGGGATCACAGACTTTCGTAATGGGGTAAAACTTGGGTGTGTCTAAGTGTCTAACTTGTGATGTGCAATTTATGCAGAGATCAAACTAGTGCCCCACAAGCACTCCAAAGCACCTCTTAGTCGTGTATTGAGAACATCTCCCCATGATAAGTACTTTAATGCATGCTAAAATGTGCATGTGGATGTGATCACATTTCTTCATTTTGTCAGAATCAATACTTTGACTCATAAACATGTTGAGAGCTCTTTTTCAAATTCATGGGGTACAATAGACGCCCAAACAAAACCAGTAACATTAATAAGGACCAAGGCCATATTTGGGAGTGCTTAAAAATAAGTTCTTATTTGGGCCATTACGCACTTATTGGTATTTGGGAAATAAGCCCGAAATGAGTACTTATTTGAAAAATAAGGGCTTATTTTTTAATTCCAAATTTTAGATTTTTTTAAGTGAGCTCAGTCCACCTCAAAATTCATAATGTGATTGTACAGTTCATGTCAATGTCAAGGGGAGGAAAGATTCTCTATTGGGGGTGGCCATAAATACATTTGGGAAATTAATTTATGAATTCTAAGGTGAAGTGGACTGTAAAAAAGCCCTGTAGTAATAATTCAAATCATTTGTCTATATTGACCAACCTAAAACTTTACAAGTAAAAGTGACAATGATACCAAACACAACCTAAAATTCAAAGGAACAGTAATCACATAGGCCGTTTTAACTTACAAGCATTACTTCTGCTTTCACCATTACCGACCAGCTAGTAATCAGTAGGATTGGATGAATTGAACAAACTAGCTTGGCACGGCGCAAATGCTGAGTTATCTGTTCCAGGGCTGGCAGTCGAGTGACTGACTGCTTTGGAATGAAGTAAAATATTAATAATTTGAGAGCATTCTAGGGTACAGAGACCGGTCTCAGTACAATACCATGAAACATTGTATAACTGCAAATGTTGCAATACTCTCACTGTAATGTTGTAACCTGAAACTACCTAAAATGAGTGCAAAAGTGCAACATAACATGGATGTTATCAAAGATGGAGTTCAACATCACAGCGTGGGTGTTGCAACATTTACAGTTCTTCAGATTTCTACTGAGAAAGGGGATAGGGTCAATTATATACATGCTCACTTACTTTAGATGGACTTTCTAACGAAGAAACAGCCATTTCTTGAAGTTCATACACGCGATTCTTCATTCTTGTATGAATGGATTATACATCATTCATAGTCCACTTACCCTAAATTAACCTACTCCTTCAAGCTGCTGCGGCAGGCCTGCAAACTGGTAGGTCCTTCTCATAATTTGGTGGCATTCGGAGAACGGGATTGCTCTCAAAGAAATTCACAGGCTTCAGATCGAAGCTTGACGATACAGTCGGCATGATTGGGAAATCCTCCTGGCATGGTATGTGATGAAATCCTAGTGTGTACCACAACACAATGTCTTTGTTCTCGATCGGACGGTTCCTGCAAATTTGTAGGGTCCATTAATTTTGTATGCTCTTGACCACAATATGGGCCACTCCCCAGTTGTGGTTTGCGGTAGGGCCCACCAAGTCAAGGAAAATTGATGACAAGCTCTTACCTCTCAGACCATACAGCTAAAGTGTCTTCTCCCTGGCTCTGGTACACAAAAACCCCACCCGCCCATTGCTCACTCCGGTTATACCGTGTCACCCAAATCTGAAAAAAACCCAAAATTTCACAACTTTTAGAAACAATCATTCGGGTATCCGGGTATCCAGCAACTTCAACATTGTAATTGGTATAAAATTCTAGTCTAGGCGCTTTACCTGGTTGTTTGTGAACGCGCCTCGCAACTGGGGAGGGTCCTGGTGATCAAGAAGGCTAGCAGCTGTACCCCCGGGTACAACCTTATACCCGACCGGGTTACCAACTCTGGTCTTTTTATTCGAGTTAATCACATGAAACTCTGAAGGGTCATAAAGCTTCAACTTGATCTGTGCATCCTTCTCGGTCTTGGCAACATGTCTCGTAGCCTTCAAGTAGCTCTTCCTAGGCGATTCTCCTGGCAGGGTGTCTTGCCTCGCCAGGTTCACCTTCACAAATGAATTATCGGAGCCGTCGATATCCATATCTAGGTAGAATGTGATGTAATGATCATGGATGACACCGATGACGTTTTCCGACAAGAGGGTACCGTAGAGGTCCTCTTCCTGGGGCACCTTGTTCATGTTTCCGTATGGGGTACCCTTCACCATTAGGATACCGCTGAGCCCAACCTGTAATCGCCACAGATGCATTGATTATAATGGATAAATTTCTCTTAGTCATGGGTCAAAGGTCCATCTCAAGCCCAAGCGGCCAAGCGTAGTATAATTTCCGGCCCGGCCCGGCCCATGATCACTGTTTCCAGTCAGATGGTCACAACTCACAACTCACAACTCACAAGCGGGGACCGTGAGGGAATATGCAAATAATGAATTAATCAACTGATTAAAGATTCCACACGAACCTTGATTCGGATTAGTCCATCAGTCTGAAACTCCCAATCCACGATATAGTCGTAGTTCGCGACTGATGCTGCCATGCGGACCACCAACGTCACTTTTGGCCTCACCTCCCGTATCTGTCAAAACGTTGACAAAGATGATGCACCAACTCACTATCTGAATTAAAAACTAAAACGACAAAGACGATACTATCTGAATAATAACCAAATAATCTGGATCCTTAGATGAAGATTAAACGCCTCTAATCGAATCTATTTTCTCCATACCTCCATGCCGGTGATCGGACTCTCAGAATGCCGCCAACCGATATCACCCGCATAGCTCTCGAACACACAAATCATGTTCGACCGGACGTACGGCTTACCGTCGGCTGCCGCGAATACACCGTCCATGTAATAAGCGTTTCGTGGGCAGTCGTTAAGCGGGTCGAGCGGCATCGCCTGGAGACCGAAGCCGTACTCGCCGGCGTCCATGTACGTCTTGAAGTACCAAGCATCTGTTGGATCCATGTAAGGCACAAACAACTCCGACGTCAGCCCCTTGTACATCACGCTCCTTAGCTCCCCTGTCTCCGAATCCCGAACCATGGCTCTGGAGATGATCACACCGGCTCTGGGGTCGGGCTTGAGGTGGAATTCCCAGTTCGCCCACTTCACCATGTGCTCGTTCTCGATGCTAAAGCTCGGCCCTTTCGGCTGTTCGATGGAGATTGGGTTCAGAGGCTTCATTCGTAGCGGCTTGTTCTGCGCTGCGTATCGGTAATCGGTGTTGGCAGCTTGCGGAATGGGAATGTGTTGGCCTTTATCGGAGATCTCGACCACCTCCCTGGTGTCCATATCGAGAAGGACAGTGAGACCTTCGATGGGTCTCATGTAGAAGTTCGCGGTTCCTTCCATGGAGTAGCACTGAACCTTGATCAGTCTCCTATTTTCTTCCTTCTTCCCGTACCATCCCGTCGATATGGGGAGGCAAGCAAGATCAGCCAAATTTATCCCTCGGTTGAGGATCGTACGGTTGAAATTAGCGTCGGCCAGAGGAGCCCATGTCGCCGAATTCATATCCTCTATGGTCATCATGGGGTACCCGAACGGCGAACCCAGGTCGTGTCTGATGACTTGGCTTGAATCCAGGTCGACGGTGAGCACATGGGACTTGCCGTTGACGAGTGCTACGACCGAAGCTCTCCTTGGTAAGAGAGGATCGCCTTTCTTCCAAGAAAGAACGAGGGGTTTCTCCGGTTCCTGGAGAACTAAGGAATGGATGGTGAAGGAGGAAGAAGAGATGAGTGGGTAGGATAAGAAGATTGTAAGGACTTTGTTGATTTCTTGGATGGTGAGTGGGTCTAGTGGGTGGTGTGGAACTTGGGCATTGTGGTTGCGTTGCAGCTTCGTATTTTCTGGGTTTCGGATGAGATGGGGCTTGGACTGGAAGCGATTCTTGGAGGTGCACCACGGCGAGTAGGAGGAGCAACCGAGTAGCTCTGCCTTGTCGAAGGACGGGTAAGGAAGATCAACCCATAAGCGAGTGAAGAGGAGGAAAAGAAGAACGCTCAGAAGAAGAAAGAGGAAAGGAAGGAACCCTGTGGATTCCATCTCTGTTGCCCTCTCACGCTGTCGCAGAATACTTGCTCCTCGGCTCAGCTTGGAGTAAGCTGATAAGGGCTCCCGAGGGAACTGATAAATACCGGATAGCCAGTGAAATATCAGGTGATTCTGTACTACGTGGGTTGTACAGGAGTGATGGCGTCCTCTTCAGATGGACGGAACGATTAAGTAAAACCTTTTGATTGGAACATTTTTACATTGGGGTTCGATAGTATGATGTAAATTTCATGCGAAGACTGTAGGGAATCTTCTGTTCCGTCTCACGGTCACGAGGAATAGAGATAGTTCATAGGTAGGATCTTGGCATAGGAATATCAATTAAGTAATAAATCATTTTTTCGGTTGCAAAATCAATCAAACCAAACGGTTTTGGCTTAAGTGGACAGCCTTAATAAGGAACACTCTTTTGGGCAGACAAATGTGCCCAACTTCTGGCCAAATTACTCTTCAACTCGTTAAGGAAGTTCCTTCGCAAATCCACTACAGACACTTGGCTACTAGCTTCTTACTTCTGATAAGACAGAATCTTTTATATTTGACGGCGGAAATGCACCGAATACAGTAACTACCACGCGGCTATGCTCGAGGGCTTTTTCGTCAAAAAAGAAACAAGGGCACTTTGGTCCAGAGGATTTGTCGATCAAACGTATACAGGTTGCAAGAGCCCAGTTATGGGTCTTTAGGTTGAATTTCATTGTATTTCATGTACTTTGTCCATGACTAGAAACTTTCTTTTTACACACGCTATAAAGTTTTTCAACATTCTATATACAAATCTAAGTCTATTTAAAATTTATTTTAATGGCACTTTCACCCTCAATAAAACTAATAAACCAAATTAACCAACGGGGCTAAATTTTACTTTCTCTCATGCATCCTTATATCACCCATCAATAAAAAAAGCAAAACAAACAAAACAGGCATTTTTTACATTTAATTAAGGCTGTATTTGAAGAAGCATTTGCTTTTGTGTTTTTGGAGTATAAAAATATATTTTGTGCTTTTACAATTTGGTAAATATCGTTTTTAAAGCAAATTTTTTAAATTAAAAGAGGCTATGTTTGATCTGAAGGAAAATGAAGGGAAAGGGAAAGACATGGAAACTAATACAAGAGTTGTAAAGCACATGTGACATGATAAAGTCCGATATGCCAACTTTTTATTTGTTGAAATTTAAAATATAAAAATGTTACATGATCCATAGTTATGCCATGTGACATAAATTAATGCCAAGTGGCATATATTTTGCCACATTTATGGACATCAAAACTTGCTATTTATTTTCCCATGTGTCGCAAATCTGTCATATGATGCACATTTTGTCTCTAATCAGGCCCCATAAATGGAACTATATAACATTCCAAATGGGCCTATCATTTCATATCTTTAGTTCATTGATATGCTTCTTATAAATAGTTTGATAGCTTTAATGTTTTTAAATGAAAAATGGATGTCGTGGTAAGTGTCTTACCATTTTTCTCAAAAAAGTAAAAACTAATAGTTTAAATCAAATGAAACTCTCCATGCAGTATGAGAGCCATGATTTTGTCTAGATGATTGAATCACAAATAAGTTGTAATGAGAGCAACAAATTTCCTATGTAGTACTAATAAATTATTAGATTCACCTAAATTACCAAAATTACGAAAATTGATTTACCTAAATCACCAAAATTAATTTCCAAAATAACCAAAAAATTACCAGTATTACCAAAATTTATTTATCAAAAAATTAAACTACTAAGAAAATCAATAATGAAATTAACAAATTTAATAAGAAAAGAATCACAAATTATTTAATTTCCCATAGAACAAAATTACTGTACAAAATTTACCCAAATTAGCAAAATTACTTCATTTTCGAAAATTAATAATTCACCAAAATTAACAAAATTATCGAGATTAATGAGCTAATAATTTCCCAAAATTATTCATTAATAAATTAGTAAAAATAATATTTTTGGTTAATAGTTAACTTACCAAAATAAGTCAAAATTAATTTTTTGGAATATACCAAAATTTAACAAAATTAAAAAAGCTAATTTAACTAAATTACCAAAATTACAATAATTAAACTACCAAAAATTACCAACATTACCAAATTTTATTTACCAAAAAATTACAAATTTTAGGAAAGATAATATTAAAAATTTACCAAAATTAAGATAACGAAATGGGTCACAAATTTAATTTCTCATATAACAAAATTAATCACCAAAATTAGAAAAATTATTTCACTTTTGTAAATTAATAATTCAACAAAATTAAAAAATTAATAATTTCTCAAAATTACCAAAGTATTCATTTATAAATTATAAAAATAATGATTGTTGGTTATCTTTTAATTTACCAAAATAAATCAAAATTATTTTGTTAAATTAATTTTTGGGAATAAACCAAAATTTAACAAAATTGACAAAATTAATTTATTAAATCCACCAAAATTAATTTATCAAAATTCATTATGAAATTTACCAAAAATAATTTACCTAAATTAATTATCTCTAAATGAATTTATGGAAGCTAATAAATTAATAAAATTACTATTTGATGATTATTACAAAAATTAATTAGAAACTTTTGATAAATTATTAACTTGCCAAAGTTAACCAAAATGACTTTACTGAAATTATTTTTTCGGTAATTTTATCAAATGTTATTAATTTAACAAAGTTGTCAAAGTAAATTGCCTAATTTATCAAAATTAATTAAGAGATCTACCAAAATAATTCCCAAATTACCAAAAGTACCAAGAATTATTTATAGAATGATGTAAATTGATGAGCATTATCTTGGGATAAGCTAGCAATGTGTGGGATGGTTGAGAAGTAGGGGTGGCAACGAGCTGAGCTTTTTACGAGCTGCTCGAGCCCAATTCAGTGGCTCAATTATTAAACGAGACGAGCTCGAGCCTACTAGAGCTCGACTCGTGAGCCTCACGAGCCGACTTGAATATATATATATATATATATATAGAAAATGATATATAATAAAAATATTATAATTATTAATTATTATAATTCTTAATTTTTTAAATATAAAATAAAAAAATTATATATAATTTTTATTTTTATAAAATATTTTTGTAAAATATAAAATGAGCTGAACCGAGCCGAGTCGAGCCAAGCTCAAGCTTATGAACTTTTGACTCGAGTTGAGCTGAAGTTCAAGGTTCTGGCTCAAATCGAGCTCAAGCTCGAGCCTTATAGAATAGTCTCGAGCCAAGCTTGAACCTGGTACTATTCGGCTTGCTCGGCTCGAATCCACCCCTATTGAGAAGTGTAATCTTACACATTGTGCTTTAACTGCAGAGCTAAAAAGTGTTTCGACTTTATATTATTATGTTTTTTTAAAAACAACTCTTGCCAAATGCTTAAAGCACTTTGTGGCTCATTTTTTGTTTCCGATAGCCCAAAGCTCAAAACCAAAGTCTAGAAGCTTATCAAAACAGAGCAAAATATTCAACTTTCTAGGTATTAATGTGAAAAAAAATCAAATTGTAGGGAGGAATTTGTAATTTTGGATAAACTTTATGGGAAAGAGTGAAATTTATTGTTTAAGTACTTTCAACCATCTTTAGATAGGAATCCATTCCTCATACCATCCAATGCTCATAAGGAGTTTGGATCTATTCCTCAAAGAGCAAGCCTCACACCGACCTTATAGCATGTCTTGACTATGGTTTTTAAAACTGACCCGAAGACCAGGTCAAGGGTCCGGTTACTGGGTCTAACGGTCCGACTGTTCGAACCAAATGCTTGGACCGTTCTAACAAAAAAATAAAAAACAGTCAAAACCGTTCGAACGATTAGAACGGTTCGAACGGTTAACCGCCTAGTTTAGAGATTTGCTTACCAAAATCAATGATTTTGGGGGAAAATCTGGTTTTTGGGGAAAATGGAACCAATCACCTGACCGGTTCCCAGTTTTTCCAATATGGTCCAGTTTTGAAAACTGATGGAGGGTGATTTGGCCCGACCTCATAGCATGGGACACGTGGGTACAACCTGGCATAAGTGATAGGTCAACATGGAAGCCTGGCCATAACTCGGTGTACTGAACTCGCTAGAGCACAGCAATGTAGCTCGGCGGATGTAGCAGCTCGCCGAGCAGAAAGATCTAGTACACTCAGAATTCTCCCTAAGGGAGGAGATCTACCGAGCTCCTCCTGAGACCCGAACTCCCCCTGGTGGGCCCCGAACTCTTCCTTCTTGAAAAGGGAACACCCCGGTCTACGGGAAGTACCCCAAAGTGGGGACACTTCAGGATAATCCCATCAACGTTTCTGCCCATATTTGCCTAAGGCTCAACTCGAGCACTCGCACCTCGGCTAACCCGGCACCCCGGTTTAGGGTGGCTCGGACCATGGCAGCTTGGTGCAAAGTAGCTTGGCAACCTACAGAAAAGATCCGCCTAACAGTAGTACTTGCCGAATCCAGAGGTTGTGCCCACGTCTCTTGTTAGGTGGCATCGTGCCTGCCACTTCTGCCAGATGTGGCGCGCCTGACAGGTCCGTACCCTGCAGCGGTTAAGCCAGATTTGACATAGCTCCGGTATAAGAGAACCCCAACCCTCACGAAGCAAAGGTATTGAAGCTAGCGCAATCAGCACTCTTTGTTTTCTCTCTACGTTTCCTCAAGTTTTCTCAGAATTCTAACTTAAAAATCAGAGTGTTCCCGCCGGGAGAGCTACCCGGGAACTCTTCACATTCCTCTTTGTCTCAGGTGCCGTCATTCACAGGTAGGAGCCAGGTTCCAGCCAGCTAGGAGTGCCCGGATCGCGCAGCATCATTTGGCGTCGTCTGTGGGAAACGCTTCAAAAAGCCTTCCTCTAACTTCTGTGTAACTTTCTCCAAAGAACTCATCAGTACCATCAGCACTCATGGCTTCCTCCAGCAACACCGGACGCCGAAACGCCTCTGAGGAACAGCCCCAGCTTCCCACTGTCTGCATCGGACAGTTCACCATCCCCCTCTCTGCGGACGGAGTTCCCATTCTGAATGTGCCTCAGACAGTGGCACCCGTGATTGTTCCACTTCCCCCTACGGTCAGAACAACCTTCGCTGAACCCACCA